GGGCGCAAACCTTGCGAAATTCGAGTTTTTCTGAAACGATCTCATGGATAAGACTTCGGGATATCTCTGGAAAAAGGTTGTGGAGTTCATCTAAAGTTAAACGACGATCATTGCGAATCGCATTTTCAATTTTTGTCGTCAACTCATCCGTGATAAGGGAGGGTCTGCCTCTCCCACTTTCGTCTTCAAGCGAATGTCTTCCTGCCTTAAATTCTCGGACCCATCTCCGCACCATAGATTCACTCATCACACTCTCTCCATATACAGAAACAAGCTGTTTGTGAATATCAACCGATTTAAAATCTTGAGCAAAAAGAAACTGAATGATGCCGCGCAAAACAACTCGAGAAGGAATCGGAATGGAGGTGGCGGGACGCGAAGTAGAGGACTCCATTTTGATAACCTCTCCTGACCGTGTTTCACGAGCTACTGACGCCGAACACCGCTCATTCTATTCGGTAGCTTCCCCTCTTCAATGCTGTGTTGCCAGCTCGCTCATACATCGACCTTACTAAATGTATAATACAAACGGAACTTATTTTCTGGATACCCCTCGTATCTATCTTGAAAGTGATATTAAAGGGTATATTCTAGATGCATCCAGAAACATGAGTGTTCATTTTATTGACTAAAATTAAATATCATAAAATTGTGTGTCTAGGATCAAACTTGACTTGACGATCTTGAATATAAAATTGGACTATGAGAGAATGTCAACTTATGAGAGATCAGACTTAAAACAATCTAAACGCAAAATTAATCGAACTACTAAAAAACACGACACGCCTTATTAAAAAGTGTTTCAAAAGAAATGTAAAATTTTCCAATCAAAACAAATATTTCCTTCTAACTATACGTAGAATACAAATGAGAAGAATAAATTGCTCGTCTAGCTACTTATTACAATTACTAGCACTAATAACTACATGTGTATCTTAATTTTTCAATTATGGACAATTTTCATATTTATCAGACTATAATGAGTAATATAATTCCATTTGTTCTATTATCGCGCCTCCCCTCCTTTCTTTCTTTCTCTCTGTCTCTTTTCCGATTGATGTACACATTCATTAGTGTTCCTTAGACGTATAAATATCGTGACAGAAACAAGAAGAGCTCAGTTGTAGAGAACACAGTCGTATTTTATTTTTCTCTTTCATCTTTTATTATTACAGCTTAACGTTTCGGGGGATCCGTGATCCAATTCAAATCTTTTCGTCGTCGATTCTATCAAATTCAAATCCTATCGCCGACATGATGTGCCAAATCGTGATAGCATTCCTTTTGGTTCACAACCTTGCAGCCGTGACATTCGACATTCCACAAGACATCTCGCCGAGCGCGCTCATGAATACGATGCGGAATAGCAAAGAACAACTGAACAGCGCCAAATTTAATAGCGATGCCAACCTTAATACAGTAAATAAATATATTTTTTCTATATTCTGATTTTTAGATTTTATAATACGATATCTTATATTTAAAATCTCAATGGAATCTTAAGATCACTTGTGACTAGGCTTAATTTTTTGAACACTTTTTTACTGTAGTGTTTTGATTCGTGAATTTCAAGACAATCTGTATATTATCATAATAAACTTGATAAATTTGAACTTTTGATAAATTTTAAGATCGTGATTTGTATCTAGTGATAAAATAAACAAACCATTTTCATTTTTCCCAGGTACAAATGATAAGAAAAGCTGGTTATCCTGCAGAGGCTCATGTTATACAGACGCAGGATGGTTATCTTTTAACACTTCATCGTATCCCAAGTAACGAGCATCAGCCAGTGTTGTTGCAGCATGGTTTGTTGTGCAGCTCTGCCGACTGGGTCATTGCCGGCAAGGATAAAGGACTTGGTACCACCTTCAATTTAAAGAAATCATCGATCATGCTTCGGAAAAATGTCGAGATAAATTCTCAAATTTCAACGTACCAAAAAAATTTAATATGTCTAATGCAAATTATAACGCATTTCGGTTTTTGAAAGTTTTTATTTTTAGTTTTTTAATATTATATTCAAGACAAGATAATCAATAGGCTCTAAAGAAAAAATCTAAAAAATAATAAATAAAAGGCCAATTTTAGCCAATGATTATTAGTGTGTATTTTGTTCAAAATGAATAGTAAAGCATATACATTTCGATCTACGGTCAAGGTTCAATACAAAGAAAATTAATTAAATGTAAATATTAAATACTAATTACATAATGATAGCGCATACAAGTATAAACTATTAAAGTATAAAATACAAAAAACTGTGATAGTAATGTCCGAATTAATCTTGGTCATTAAATTACTAAGTTTACCAAAAAGAAAGAAATTTTATTGTTTTAAATCGAGAGACCAAAAGAAATTACAAAATATTTTTAATTGCTAACATAAAATTTTCCACACAAAATATGATAAATTAAACTTACATGATTATCAAGATTGATTTATTTCTATAAGGTTGTTTGCATATGTTCCATTAGACTGTTTCATTTACTGCATAAATACAAATATAAATTAAAAAATTAATATAAATAATGGTTAATATCAAAATTCAGTTCACTTACTAAATTAAGAGTTATTAAACATGACATAACTGTTTGTTAAACGAATGTAAAATGAAAATTGAGAGAAACAGTAGACAACAGAATATGTACTTACAATGACGATAAGTATAAATAATAAATAATAAATAACCAAGGATAAACTGTTTGCGCTATCGTTATATTTAATATTTACATTTAATTTTCTTTGTACTGAAGAGGACCTTGACCGTAGGTCAAAACGTATACACTTTACTATTCATTTTGAATAAATGGTATAAATACACACTAATAATCAGTGTTGGCTCAAATTGGCATTTTATTTATTACCTTTTAATATTATATTGTTTATGCAAATAATTTTGACTATTAAGATTAGATATTGTTCTTCTGGATTTTAAATAAAATTTCACTTTTTTTATGTAAAATCGGATTAATATATAAGAAAAAAATCAGATGTATAGCTAGACTATGCATGTAACATTATAAAGCCAAAATATTGTCATCTAAATAGCTACTGTAAACAATGTTTTCTTGATTATGTTAGCTTTCATATTGGCTGATCAAGGCTACGATGTTTGGTTGGGCAATATTCGTGGGAATACTTACTCAAGGGCACATGTTTCTTTATCTCCATCGGATTCAAGATTTTGGAATTTCAGGTACTCACACTATAAAATAAAAAAATAACAGTGCGTTAAAAATGATATAGTTGAAATAATAATTTATAATCAATAACATAAGAGCATCAGCAGCGTTCAGCAGTTCTTTGAAAGAAATAACCGAATATGTTAAAAATGATATTCAAAAATAAAAATATTTTAAAAGTATATATGCATTATGTAGTATATAGCATCCACGATTATTATTGATTATATAGCTTATTTTCATACTTTCCACGAGATATGCTTCTACGAGGTTTTCACAAAATAACATAATGATGGATTATTAACCTTCTCAATCTCCGATTGTAAATCCGATTGAAAATATTTGGTTAATATCATGAAATAAAGCTTCAAGAAAAATAAATATTTATTTAAAGTAGTTGTCTTGGCATGTACTTTGAAAAATTTGGGAGATCTTATCCAATCTTCTACGAATTTCGTAGAAAGCATGTCTCGAACAGTTATAAATAATAATAGTAATTGGTTGTCATACTTACTAACTAAATATTTTAATCATGTAATAACTTTTAAAATATTAGGTGTTGGAATTAATTCGTAGCGTTTTACAAGTGATGGGAAGTACTTTCATTAATGTATTTTTTAATGCTCATGTGAAATAAATAACATTCTTTCATTAAAAAACGCTACGAACTAATTCCAACACCTAATATAACTTCAATTTTTAAAAATATATTCGATTTCTTTTAGAGAACTGCTCGACAATGCTCTTGTCACTATAATTTATAGTAAAAAAATGAAAGTTAATTAATTATAATACTATTTTTATTTTATATTATAATATATACTTTGTTATATATGTTATATATTTTGTGATATATCTATATCGATTAAAATTGTTAGCTTTCATGAAATGGGCATCTATGATTTACCTGCGATGATTTCATATATCACGAATATAACATCACATCCATTGCACACATACATTGGTCATTCGATGGGTACAACTTCTTTTTATGTAATGGCAGTGGAACGTCCAGAAATTGCTCGAATGGTGCAAATGATGATTAGTCTCGCGCCTGCAGTTTTTATGAATCATATGAAAAGTCCAATACGATATTTTTCTCGTTTCACACAGGAATTTGAGGTAATATGTCTAAATATACTGCTAAAAAGTAAATTAATTATTAATATATAACAATTCAAAACTACATCTAATAGTTAAAAAACTACATCTAGCATTAAGTCACCTTGTTTTATAATTTTATGCTACATAGAACTCATATAGTACTCGCAAAAATTTGTATTTCAAACTGATTCCGCCGAGAAACCCTCATCACCGAACCAAGCCGAGTGCTCACGTGACGCTCAGGAGCATCCATATACCAGAAATATATGGGAGCGCACCTTCCGCCAAATTATTATTGAAACATGTTTTTTATTAAATAATTTATTTCTATCAACATAATCTTTATTGTTAATTTATTCATTGTTCCTTAATGATATACTTATATCTTAACATAGTTTTCTAATACATTACAGTAATCTAATACATTAATAATTATGTGAACGTATATTTCGACAATATCTTTCCACATCATCCGTGAGGTACTATTGGTAAGATGCATTTTTTTGTAATGTGATTTCCCCAGGCCTATTCCTCAAAAAGAAGAATCGAAAAGAAGAATCAAAATTATATATCGTATAATACGATATATAATTTTGCTTTCCTGCCAAGCCACATTCGAGTATTTAATTTTTCTTTTTATGGAATAGGCCTACTGAGAAAATCACATTAAAAAAAAAAAAACGCATCTTACAGTAGTACCTCATGGGTGATGTGAAAAGCTATTGTCGAAATGTACGTTATCATAATTATGTAATGTATTAGAAAACTATTTTAAGATATAAATATATCACTAAAGAACAATAAATAAATTAATAATATAGAAAATTTTATGTTAATAGAAATAAATTATTTAATAAAAAACATGTTTCAATAACAATTTGGTGGAAGATATGCTCCCAGTATATTTCTAATATAGGGACGCTCCTGATCCAAAGCGTCACGTGAGTGTTCGGCGCCGAACTTCGAGCGGTGGTGAGAGTCGCTCGTCGGAATCAGCCCGAAATATGTAAATCTTTGCGAACATTGACCTAGAGGATGTCTTACTTGCTTTATTATTACTCTTCAAAAACAATTTTGTCCTTCATGTATCTTTTTCAACAAAAAAATATTAAGACATCAATAATCCTTGTTATAAAACTTTTAGGAGAAAATGTAACAAAACTATATTTTTTTAACTCCAAGCACAATTTACTTAAAAAATTTAATGTTTCAAAGATACAAATAAAGTTAAATATCGGAAAATTGCGATAAAAGCGTGTTTGTTATCGTTAAAAAATAATATACGACCAGTTAATTATTCTATAATTTTATTCATGCAAGAAGGAATTTTATACATCTTATGATCAGAAGAAAAATTAATTTTCTGTGTAAATATAAACAAGTGTGGAAGAAGATTTCATAAGAAATTTTATTTTAACCAGAAATTAACTCTAAAAATGGGAACATTATCTTTTCATTACTCTCACTTATTGTTAGATATCTATGTTTAATGTCTACATTGAGTATACATTGGGTCTACATTCTATTTTAATGTTCGTAATATTCGCGTGCATCATTTTATCCTTGTTAAGAGCGCCTCCAGACGATATGGCCAATATATACGCCAATTTTGTGTATATTCACTAAATATTGATTACATTATATAGATAATTATGTATGTGTATGATATTTGCTAATATTGACATACGTTGGTCATATCGTCTGAAGGCGCCTTTACATTTATTAAACAATAAGGATGAAATAATCCTCACGAACAAACGTTACATAAAACGCGTTCATTGTAGAGCTATATTATCCAAACTTTTGATTATAATTTTAACGAGACATATTTTACGAATTAAGATTTAAGATCAAAGATCGCTTGTATAAATTTAATTCATTAAAGAGTACTTCAAATGAATCGATTTATTCTCACTTGCTAAAACTGGAACAATCAAAACAATTAAATAAATTATATTCCAATTAAAAAATTCGGGGATTACAGATAATCGCACATTTCTTCGGTAAAAACGAGTTTCTGCCACACAGCGATATGCTATACTATCTGTCTAAGTATGGCTGTGAGATGTTTAATATTGAGAAGGAGATCTGCGCCAACGTGATATTCCTAATCTGTGGATTCGACAAAGAACAGTTCAACTACGTAAGCATTCCATGAAAACTGTAATCGAAGTGCAATTCTGAACAGCGCTTCGAAAGTCACGTTTAGCATATGTGATGACGCTTCAAACCATAACCGAGATATTATACCGTTTCTTAGACTCTGCTACCAATAATTGTGAATCACGATCCAGCCGGCGCCTCGGCTAAAACGCTGGTGCACTTTAGCCAGGAAATCAAATCGGGCAAATTCCGTCAATACGACTATGGACGCAAAAATAATTTGCTGATTTATAATGCAACGGAACCGCCGGATTACGATCTAGGGAACATCACCTTGCCAATTGCGATATTCTACGGCGACAATGATTGGTTGGCCAACAGTGTGGTAAATAGCAGGAAAATGAATATTTAGATTAAAAGGACACGTGGAAAATACATATTAAGAACTAATTCGTATTAATTTCATATCTCAAAGCTATAATAATATACTATTGTGATTATACTACATTCAATGCCTCATTATTTTTACTTTATCATCATAAATAATTAAAATTTTAAAATTTTGAATCTGACTGAGATAAAGAAATATGTGTCTAGAGTCTAAATGAAAACATTGCGTATAAAGACACAGAGTTGAGTATAAGAAGTATAAAATAATGCATGATAACTTATGATATTTTTTTTTCAAGGATGTGAAGAAACTTTACCACCTGTTACCCAACATATTGGATATGTACAGAGTACCTAAATTTAATCACCTGGATTTCATCTGGGGCAAGGATGCGCCTAAGCTCGTGTACAAGAGACTGCTTGAGATTATGAAGAAGATAATGTGCCATAACGATAATAAAGATAATAAAGATAAGAAATGACTGAGATATCAAAGATGTTACCATAAATTAAGAGTAATTTAGCTCACTATTTTATAGTAGTTTGTGTAGATGTATTAAAATGGCATTATTTTGTCGCTTTGATCGTTTGACGTAAAACTGAATGAAATTTTCAATACAAACAAAAATGTATTACAAATTTCAATTTGACTATGAATATTATTCATTTACCTAATTATTAGTGAGAGATATTTTTATTAAATAAAATTAATAACTTCAAACAATAAATATAAATTATTATAAAATGAATTTCTTGTTGTAATAAGACAATATAAAATTGTTTATATTTAATTAAATCATTAATACTATTAAAAGTTTGTTACAGAAGATTCATAAACTTTGTTTATAAATTGCAGGATTAAAAAAAAATTATACAGATATTTTTCACATTGTATAAGCTTAAATGACCTTTTATATTATTAATGATTAAATAATAAAAGATATTTTGTAATCAAAATAATATAAGAAAAATCACTATTATTATCTAGAATATATTCTATAATAATCTTATATAATAATACTAATTATATATTAATACTAATTAATATTGATAATTTCCAATATCAGTTTTTCTCAAAAATGTTAATCCTTTATTATTATTGTATCTTCAATCTTGTACTCGAATTCTATAAAATTTAATGACTTGCAACAATTTTTCAAAATGTAAACGCGAAAAAATTTTTAAATAATGCTGCATTCAATAACAATTTGGCTAATCACATTTATCAAATTTATATTGAAATAAAATTTATATTTCGTATGAAATAATTAGCAAATGATTTGTAGGAAGAATTAGTATCAATAGTATCTGTTTTGGTTTATTGATATATGACAACAAATTATCATAAATTACATTTTTACAAAGAAAAGATTCAAGTTCTTTTTTTTTTTAATTACTTGGAATTTATAATAAAATTATAATAAAAAGTATTATTAATATGTAATCATCTTGAAATGCTTTATGTACAGAGATGGACGGCACAGATATGTGTCTTAAATGTGAAGGATACAGTTTGTTTGGGCAATATTTATATTTGAAACTTTAAGTAACAATAAAACATGCACGCACACATTTATTCTATAATTTTTAGAACTGAAATAAATCAACAAACACTTTTAATATAAACTTTAAAGTGTTTAACTGTTAACTCTTATAAAATGCATTGTCTAAATATTCTATGGTAACTTTATTAGAATAAAATAATTAAACTTGATCTTATTAAATAAAGCATTTTATGTCATATATACTATATAATGACATGTAACAATATAATATTAAATGTTATGATACATTTATTATTTTATGCTATTCACGACGCTATATATCGTCAATTTAACATTCTTTTTTTCATGTATTTTACATTACTGAGTGAATATTTTTCAATATATTCATCATAATATGCTATTGAAACACGTAGCGCTCTTCTGGAAAACAAAGACAAAAGAAAAAAAATTACTGTCATTTCTAAAAAAATTATAACGATAGTATGCAATGTTCTATATCTGGTGATATAACTGGAAAGACGGTAATTCTATACGAAGAAATAAGTCGAAAACGAATAAATTTTTTCGCATAAGATTTTACGTTCAGGAAAATCGACTTCAAAATTTTATTTTACGTTTTTAACTTATTTTTTCATATATAATCATTCCTTTCCCAGTTGTATCCAACATACATTTACGGAATACCTTGTGTGTATGTGTGTATATGTATACATATATACACATATATACATTTATCTCAAAAATTTTATGTATATGATAAACGCGCGTCTTATATTCCTCATATTTCACATACTTATTTGCCTGTAGCATTTACACTTATGCTATTGCACATCTTTTGATTATTTCTTATTATAGTGTTTGTATAACGTGCGTTCAGAGCGCACGCCCTATTGTGTACCTTCGTTTGTCTTATGTCATAATTTGGTGCTCTAGTAACACTGTTCGACAAAACTTGACCTTTTTTTTGCATTACTACTTTTTTTGCCTGTTAACAATGAATCCGTTGTCCAAATTTGATTATTACATTACAATTTTGAGAAAAAAAGCAAAAAATAATAATTTTGAAGATTTTCATGACGTAACACCGATAGTAATATTTTTTCGAAACTTTGTTAATACTATGTGAAAGTGTCAGCTTTAAGCTTTAAAATGCATTTCATTTCGTTTTGATATGATTTTTCGTTTTCGAGATATAGCAATTTTAAATAGTTCTTTTCCTATGTAAATAGATGAAAAAGACATTTGTTCCATTTTAATATTGCATTATGTGGAAAAAAAGTGCTAACACACTTACATAATATAATCGAATCATACTAAATAAAAAAACAATATAAAATTGAAAATACAAATATAATGCAGGAAGATTATAATCTTGAATAAATGAAATCATATAAAAAAAAAATAAATTGCATTTTAAAGTTAAACGTTGTTACTTTCTCTTAGCATTAATGAAATGTAGAAAAAAATATGCTTTCGGTTTGTAACATTATACAACTTTTAAAATTGTTTTTAATTTTTTTGACATTTTTTTCAAAATAATAATATAATATTAGAAATGACTATAATTACACTCGTGTTGCAAAATAATGTTGAACAGTGCAATCAGTCGATATAATAATAATAATAATAATATGCCGCAACATGAGTCATGTATTTTTTAAAATTTTATCATCATGTAATTAATAACGTAATTAACAACGCAGTATCTTCTTTTCTAATAGAAAAAAATCGTTAACGAAATGATTCATCCTATTGCAACTTATTTCATAAAGAGAAGATTAAAGAAGAGATCAACTAATCACGCTACTTCTCCTTTTTGTTTTCTTCTCTCTTATCAGTATTATACTTAGATATAAAAGACCTGTGTCGTTTGTTTTTGTTCATTGACTGAATCATTCGTTTGCGATGCAGTTGATCGTGATCGTGTATCTTTTATCCTTTTGTGGCTACCTCGATTTTGTAACGGCTGGAATATTCGACATCCCGAAGAACGTTATCAAGAAAGTGATGGGAACCAATAAGGAACAGTCAAACACGTATATTTTTTCTCAAGACAATCTCGATATGGTAAATGCATCTAAAAAAAAAAAATTAAAATCTTTACTATATTTTTTATTACTATTTATTATCTTACTATTTTTTAACTCTCAAATGCTAGGTATTCGATATTGTAATACAGAAAACAATCTTATGTTAATTGTTACGTTTCGCAATTTTAAAATTTGAGCCCCCTTACATTTTGATAAAAATAATAATTTTAATTCTCGCTTAAAATCGTACCGTTTTTTTTTGCTTTAAGATCGATTAAATTATTCATTGTTAACTTTGTTTAAAAGTAATTTTGATTAAAACAAGAGAATATTTTTCTTGTTTTGAAATATACAATGAGATTTAAAATAAATTAGTCATTTTATAACAGTATTTGCTTTATCTTTTTTTTAAAATAAATATTTAAGTATAAAATCATTAAAATCAATTAAATTATTTGTCAAACTTTAAGTTTTGTAGAATATTTCAGTATTAGCAATAGCTTTTATGATTATTCATTAGATAAATAATATTAGATATGATTTTATTATAAATTTTAATAATTACTTTCTATATGATATATAAGTTTTATACAAAATAAAATAAAAATGCTCAAATCTCTGTGCTATTTAGAAAGAAGATATATGATGAACGTATCTGATACTATTATGTTAATCTTCCTTCCAGTCAGGACTGATAGCAATAACATGTTAGTAATGATGTACATAAATAATAATCTTAATTAATCGAAAATTGATTCAAATTTGTATAATAAATATAATTTTATGTGCTTTTACTGTTTTTAGTTACAGAGGATAAAAAAAGCAGGTTTTCCCGCGGAGGCTCACGCAATACAGACGGAGGATGGCTATATCTTAACACTTTATCGTATCCCAAATAAAAACGGTCCATCCGTGCTGCTGCAACATGGTCTTTTAAGCAGCTTCACCGATTTTCTTATTTCCGGAAAAGATAAAGGACTTGGTATGACATTAATTAATCTCCAAAAATGTTTCTCTCACTGCGAGATCGTTTCAATCTGGAAAACATCAGGAAAAATTATGAAGTTTATATGAAAAAATAACTCCTAATGTAATTTCTAGCACATGTTATGTTTTTAAAATAATTGAAACACACATATAATTTTATAATATTAATATAATTATAATTATGTTATATACATATACAATATATATAATATATATATAAAACTGATATATAAATGACATACCCAAGTAGAACAATAAATCATGATAACATCAAAACGAATCAGAAATGATTGAAAATGACTTTTAATGATCATTTTAAAGTCAGTTTGACATAATTTTAATATCATAATAATATTATTCTACTTAAGTAATCTCTTAAAAAAAAAAATCTCTTCTTGATCTTATTAAAAAGAGAGAAATTACGAATTATATATATTCTATAATTATTAGGATTTTTTTATTTAACTTACTCGACAATAAAAGTTGTTCTGATCTTTTTGTCTTAACAATGTATCAAAATCGACTTTATATATTATATTAATTTTAAAGCTACTTATATATGTATATTTATATTAATATTAAAAGTTAAATAACTACAGAATCTATTGGAAACAATGTTTTATTCTTCTTGCTATATAGCTTTCATATTGGCTAATCATGGGTATGATGTTTGGATGGGTAATTTTCGTGGAAATACTTACTCGAGGGCACATGTTTCTTTATCGCCATCGGATTCAAAATTTTGGAACTTCAGGTATTTACATTAATAAATTAAAAATAAGTGCATTAAATGTAACATAGTTATAATAATATGTAACTTAATTTATACATGATAAAAAATTGATTAATCAGTTCTACACTGTAATACTATGTAATAATATATTTTGTTATATTGTAATGAGATATATATATCAATTTTTTTCTTTAGCTTTCACGAAATGGGTGTTTACGATTTACCCGCAATGATTTTACATATTACGAATATAACATCGCAACCATTGCACACATACATCGGTCATTCAATGGGCACAACTGCTTCTTACGTGATGGCAGCAGAACGTCCGGAAATCGCTCGAATGGTGCGATTGATAATCAGTCTCGCGCCTGTGGCATTTATGACTCATATAAGAAGTCCTATACGGTTTCTCACTCCTTTCGCAGGAAATATTGAGGTAAAGTCATACGAAAATATTCTTAGAAAATAATTTTTTATGGCAAAATAATTTAAAACAACGTCTAATATATAAGAAGCTATTTTTATCTTTTCTATCTTATGATTTGAGACTATACATAGGATATCCTGAGATGCTTTCTCCTCTTTTTTCAAATAATTAATTGATTTTTGAAATTTAGAAATTTGTTTTTTTAACAAATATAGTATTAGTATTATAAACGATTGAAATATTAGCCAAACAGATAACACTATTATTTTTCAATTTTCGACATCTAAGAACAATTACTTTAACAAAATTTTAATTTATGATTTGAAGTTCCGAAGGTATATAGGGTATCCTATAACGATTAATTAATTTTAGGGAGTGAACGAGGATGAAATTTGAACTAAAAGTGCCTTTGCCAATTTTGGTTCAGACCATATTTATTTACCTATTTATTGATTTATTGATTTGTTAATATGAAAAATTAGAATAAAATTTCAATCGGGATAATGCATAGTAAGCGCAAAGAATCTCATGGCATACTACATTCTTGCATACTCCGGCTGCGTGTTGATCTGACTGATCAAGTTTAATCGTCAATAACTCGGCAAGTAATGATCTGAGCCAAAATTGACAAGGAACTTTTAGTTCAAAATTTCATCCTCGTTTGTTTTTTGAAATATTAATTAATCATTATACGACACTCTGTATAATACTAAGAATTGGAATTTAGTTTCAAGTAAATATTTTTGAAATATTGCAATTGAGATTAAGGAGAGTAATTCGAAACTCCTATGCAAAAATCACGTTTTAAATAATGTTTCATATATTCTCAAATATTCATTATGAGATCGAATTACAAGCAAATTATATTGTGAATAAAAGAATTTCAATTTGCAGGGGCTCTTATATCTTCTTGGCGAAGACGAGTTTCTACCACACAGCTCTGTAATACAGTTCATGAGCAAACTCGCCTGTGACATGACATTTGTTCAGGACAAGATTTGCACCAATTTGCTGTTTCTGATCTTAGGTTTTGACAGGGAGCAGTTTGATGTTGTGAGTATTTCTTGAGTATCACGATGAAAATATATTTCTATCTCTAATTGGTGTTTCAATCACCATCATTCCGCTCGCATAATTCCAATTTGAGATTAGATTTCATGTTCGTCTTTTAGAACCTAATACCTTCGATTTTAAATACCTATCCAGCCGGTACTTCGACCAAAACGCTAGTACACTTTGCTCAGGAACATAATTCTGGCAAGTTTTGCCAATACGATTATGGTTGTGCGAAAAATCTACAAATTTACAACACACCTGAACCGCCAGATTATAATCTCGCAAACATCACCACGCCTTTCGCAATATTCTATGCTGAAAATGACTGGCTGTCTGGCATTCCGGTAGGTAACGGATAAGCACATTTAGATCAAAAAGATACATATTAAAGATTAATTTCCTTAACTATTTGTATTATATAAATAAGGCTTTATATTAAGAGAGAAATATAAGAAAAAAAGAAATTGCTTAAATTGAAAATTGCGAAATTGTTTCTTTAAGGATGTAAAGCAGCTCATCAGTCTGTTACCCAATGTAGTGGATGAATACAAAGTACCATTTCCTAAGTTCAATCACTTGGATTTCTTATGGGCCATAGATGTACCTGAACTTGTGTACAATAAAGTGTTAGAGGTCATGAGAATGGAACCAACATTAATGGCAAAAAAAACGCAATCTTAAATTTTGATATTTTAATTATTTAATA